TGAAATAATGATAATATGACTTATCCACAAATCTTAGTCTTTTGTTAGTCAACGTAACTTGATAATGAACATGTTATGTTCCACATTGTCTTTTTTCGTGTTAGAAATCATTAGTCATATAAAAATGATTCATGATAAAGGCAAGCACTTTTTTACACAACACACTGCAGCTCAAAGTTAGATGTTTAGTGTGCATATCGCTGTGAATAACGGTAGGTGATCTCTGCACACACGAGCGGCTGAGGGCTGAGCTCAGGAGAAGATAAGCGTAATCAGAAGAGACTTCCAGTGCCAGTGATCCATGCAGGTTATTAGTGTTGTCACGACATGTTGCAGATGCTGCGCATGCGCGCTCCAACTCCTCTGCCAAGGTCATCTACAGCCTCCCAGCGTGCCGAGGAGACGTCCCTACTGCAAACAGAACAAATAAAACCTGTGAAATGCATTCAGACGCGCGATGATGGAGAAGATCAGAATGTGATCCTGAGGTTGAGCATGCTGGACAGAGCAGGGCTCCACAGTGTTTTCTCCAGAACAAAATCCATTAAACTACTTACAAAAAGCAGGTTACAGTTAGATTAGCATGACTGCTTACTGACAGATCTAGAAATTAGACTGATAGAGAGATGGAGATCTGGGTATTTGTTTTATGCAAGTGGTTTCATATAATATCCTAGTCTATTTAAATGGACAGATTTGATGCTTGTTCTCCAAGTTAACGCAAATCACACTAGCCTAACTTACACTATTGCAGTGTTGTTTAAAGATTGAGCAGTTTTGCCGCTTGTTCGGCCCAACGAACATTCATTGGTGTGCAAAGCTTTCCAAAACCAGGAGCTTTCAGGTCCAAATGTGCTGAACTAAAGCCAGAATATTCATTACTATCTCCAGGGGGCTGTTAAAATAATGTTAAAAAGTTGGGAAAAAACTGAAAGCTTTAAAACATTGTTAAATGTGGTAGCATAAAACAAATAATGTGATAATGTTAGAGGTGTGAGTGCAGCTTCATGGAAGAGCTCATGTTATTGTGATCATGTTATTCCAGGCGTTATGGAGACTCACTGACATTATAACCAGCAGAACTCTCTTCATATTTATAGGAATTAATATTGATTTAATAGCCCTTATGGAAATGAACCTGTGAACCTGATTTTTATTTTTTTCTGGGAAACTTGATCATTTTTATAGTAGGCCTATCCACCTTTTTCTTGCCGTAAAAGTGGGCGCGGCCATTTTGTAAATTCTATGGGTCTGGATTCCGGTCTCATCTGCGTCCAGCTATTTTTAGTTTGTTTTGCTGCTTGATATTGACAATTGGTGTGTCTTACCATATTGTTTTAATGTATAATCTTAATTATGAACACACTGGTTTGTAGTACAAACAGTTTTACCGTTTACCGCACGTTGTTATTCTCCTCGTTATTTACCTATAGCGGCTAATGAACCGGAAGTCTCCCATAGGCTTACTTCCGCGTTGAAGAAAAAGGTGAATAGTTAAAACAACAGTGGCAAATATGTTGTGCTTTCGCTACGCATAATTAAACCAGCACTGTAGTAAAACGATGGGTAGTTTTTACATTGCTTTTGAAAATCTATTTTTTGTGTCCAATTGTCTCTACAAACCTGGAGTACGGAAACGTCCCAAACGGGAAACTCCGTCCTTGTTTTTCTGTGTTTCTGCACTTCACAATAAAACTGATGCTCTTATATTTGTGTCGCTACAGTCTACGGGCCCCGGATATTAATATAGTACTGTTTAATATAGCGAGAACTGTGCGGTGGACCCGCGATGCGCACTTGCAGTGTAAACAGTCATTATAACAGTAGTATTATTATAGACTATTGTTATTATTATTATGTGTCATGTTGCAGCGGGTTATATGCGATGGAAATGCGGCCCGTGCCGTGTGAAGTCCAAGCTGCCCACTGGATTATTTATTTTAAATGGCCTTGTTTTGTTTTTATTAATGAAATTAGAAATGGCCTTTATATATTATGACATTAAATTATTATATCGGTCTGATATTGTCATAATGCTGTTTTGGCTGCAGCCGATTAGTTTAATGTGTTGTGTTATTATTGACTCAACAGTCCCAGAGCAGCAGTTCATTCGCAATAATGCCATCATGGAAATATTAAATGAAATTAACAGTTGTTAGTCTCCACACTAGCCTAACTTACACTATTGCAGTGTTGTTTAAAGATTGAGCAGTTTTGCCGCTTGTTCGGCCCAACGAACATTCATTGGTGTGCAAAGCTTTCCAAAACCAGGAGCTTTCAGGTCCAAATGTGCTGAACTAAAGCCAGAATATTCATTACTATCTCCAGGGGGCTGTTAAAATAATGTTAAAAAGTTGGGAAAAAACTGAAAGCTTTAAAACATTGTTAAATGTGGTAGCATAAAACAAATAATGTTATATCGGTCTGATATTGTCATAATGCTGTTTTGGCTGCAGCCGATTAGTTTAATGTGTTGTGTTATTATTGACTCAACAGTCCCAGAGCAGCAGTTCATTCATCATGGAAATATTAAATGAAATTAACAGTTGTTAGTCTCCATGGGATGATTCCATATTATGATGAATTAGCCGTACATGTTTTTTTATGTAACTTTATTTAATGTAATTATTATTTTATTGATATTTAATTTCATAAATGGTCTATTTATTTTATTTTATTTGAAATTGCAGCTACTTTACAAAACGTTATTTGATGTATTTGATTGTTTATTCTGGTTCTTCAAGCACTGCAATCACCGCGCTCTTCCAACAAACCAGGTGCCAAAACCAATATATCTATAGGCAAATAAATACATAAATAATTTATAGAATTACAGCAGGGGAGACAATGTGATAGTTTGTTTATATTGTTTATCCCATACTTAAATTCAATCAATATTTTTAGGGCGCAGAACCTTTTTTAACACCCTAATCTCGTACATATCCTGAAACATGGCCTTTACAGAATCATTTTACACCTTTTTTGGCGTAACTATTTTTCTAATACGTTCATTTTGGCAAACAGACTCAAATAAAACGTGCTTTACTGTCTCACGCATATCATTGCAATCTGCCGGCTTTGTGAGCCATGAGCTCTGTAAAACTTACATTAATAAATCACTCACCCTTATTTCGTTCCAAAGCTGTATGAATTTCAACCAACACACACTAAAATCATCTTTTGTGTTCCACAGAAAAATTATTTAATAACGACTTAATACCAGCATTATTAGTTCAATAACATCGTATGAAATTATTGTCTGCAAAACGAGAACAATTACAGTTTCTCTATGCAATGCATTTGCTAAAGTAAGTCTACATATGAAAAGGGTTGTTTTCGTTCAGCTGTTGCAGAGACCCGACAGCGCGTGGCCAGACCTAATGAGGGGCTTTTAAAATGATTTCTGGCCAATTAACAATTATAGGCGTATTTGAGGTATTTGTTAAGCAATAAACAAATAGTACAGCTAAATAACACGTTTCAAATGATTTATTGTTGGACCACCACATTCAAGCCAAAAATGCACAATATAAAGACAATCTTTAAATTATTACTTTGATGAAAGCAAAGTATTTTTCGCTGTTTAATTAAACTTGCTCATATTGTACAATTCAATTTGAAAGCAGAACTCTCTTCATATTTATAGGAATTAATATTGATTTAATAGCCCTTATGGAAATGAACCTGTGAACCTGATTTTTATTTTTTTCTGGGAAACTTGATCATTTTTATAGTAGGCCTATCCACCTTTTTCTTGCCGTAAAAGTGGGCGCGGCCATTTTGTAAATTCTATGGGTCTGGATTCCGGTCTCATCTGCGTCCAGCTATTTTTAGTTTGTTTTGCTGCTTGATATTGACAATTGGTGTGTCTTACCATATTGTTTTAATGTATAATCTTAATTATGAACACACTGGTTTGTAGTACAAACAGTTTTACCGTTTACCTGAAAATAGAGACACTGTAGAGTTTTTTTTTTTTTTGTATTTTGACAAACAAACAATGATTAAAATCAAACATTTATTGTTTGTTTGTTTTTTTAGTACAATTCTTCATTTCTGTAAATTCTGCTTTTTTCCCTTCAGTGCTAAACAACGAATCTCAATAACTGAATGTAGTAATAATGTCGGCTGAAATTGGATTCCACCTCCACAATAAGTAATTATTAGGCTATGTTAGTAATACTGTCTGAAGGTGAGCCTCAGCCCGCTGTAATGTGCGCCGTACGGAACACCAAAAGTGCTTTAGTAGTTTGCATACATTGCTAATACATTGTAGATTTTTGGATCATGTGCTTATTTATAATTTATTCGTTTACGCATTACGCTGTATGCTTAATATTTTAAGTAGACGTTAATTCGTAAAATTTATTTATTTTTTTGGCTGTTTTTCATATATAACAATCATTTGACCGCAGCTAATGTTGGTAGCTACATTTAGTAAAATTAGGCCTATATGTAATAATTTTAACAAGTGTGCGTCGTCTCACATATGGTCCGAGATTCTCCTTAATGTACTACAAATGTTGTATTTATTTGAAAAAGACGAAACAATAAAGACACAGCAGCGTGCGTGTAAACTCTGGGACGCCCAGGCGTTGTGTTTGTATGCTACTGAAGTGTTTGTAGTCATATGTTGGACATGCATGCCTCTGTGAGCTCCACATTATCATACAAGCCATATTTCATCACTATTTGTGTGAGTGGGACCTGAGAAAATGGAAATAAATAAAAGCCTTAATTAGCGTCTCTGACTCTTGTCTCTGTCTTAGACTCCCAGTTAAGACCATGAACATGTATAATTTCAGCAGGACTGCTGATTAATGGATCGTGGATGGATGCATGACAACAAATACAATTAAGAAATCAAATATAAATTAACTCCACTTCGAACAGCATATAAATATTCTGGCGTTAAATCGAATTAACTGGTAATTTCTCACCAAAAGGTTCCTGCGCTTTCGAAGCGCATAAAAATGAAAACCAGCTCAATTATGGTCGTAAAACTGTACGGAAGCATTTAGTGCATGATTACATGATTTCATCTCAACGAAATCACTTTCAGTTTAAAAGGCATCTGGAGAGCCTCTGTCGTGGTGGGACAGAAGAGCGGGTAAAGCGCTGGACACAGCCGGGGAGAAGGAGGACATGGTCCTGAGGGAGTCGGTGAGTAACTGAGAGCTGAACGCGTGTTGCTGCAGGGCCGGCGGGTGCAAGTAGCCTGACGGGACGGATAGCAGCCCAACGGGAGACGAACTCATCCCGTAAGTGTTCGTCAGACCGAGAGCACCGCCACAGCGCGCCGCGTCCCGGACGCCAGACACGACAGAACCGTAACCGGGAGCTTGATTCAGAAACCCGTGCGCCGTTCCGCTGTAATGCTGAGGGTGCAAAGATAACAAAGGCGAGATCTGCCAGTACAGCGGGTTGCTCGCCGCCTCGTTTATTCCCAGCCCCAGCGGGGAGAACCGCAGTCCTCGTTTGATCGCCAGCTTTCCTCTGGAGGTGGCCGAGCGTCTCCGGAGCTTGCCGGTCGTGCCGCCGATGAAAACATCATCGCTCGAGGGGTCCAGCATCCAGTAGTTGCCTTTGCCCGGGTCGTCGTAATGTCTCGGCACTTTAACAAAGCATTTATTGAGACTCAGATTGTGACGGATGGAGTTCTGCCAGCCCTGCTTGTGCCCCCGGTAAAACGGAAAGTTCTTCGTGATAAACTCGTAGATTCCGTTAAGCGTTAGTCTCTTCTCGGGGCTTTGTCTAATAGCCATCATAATCATCGCGTTGTAGCTGAACGGCGGCTTGTCGAGCTTCGCAGTTTTGCTCGGTTCTTCTGCAGCGTCTTTGCCTTCCTCCGAGTCCAGCTGCATCCCGGCGGCCTCCGCAGATCGGTTCGGATCGGTGCCCGACAGCGGCTTGTTCTCTGGACGCGCCGTGCCGTGTTTGTCGCACACACTCTCTCTCTCTCTCACACACACACACACACACACACACACGCAGTCACAAATGTTTCCGAGGACAGTCTTACCTTATACAGACTGTGGGTTATTTATTGTGTATGTTACACCGAGGCCAAACTGGATGTAAGACATTAACTCTCCATGATATCTGGTTGATATTTTCTCACATCAATTACAAGATGGTATCGTGATCAACATGAAAACTGGTAGAGCAGAGATGCATGATTGATCATGATAATGCTGCCCATGTTTCTGCAAACGTTTTAAGGAGTGCTTTCTTTGATTTGATCTAGTTCATGTTTGGATTATTTTTTCAATGTCAGATCTTTTTTTTTAAGTTTTGTCTTTTATAAGTTGATCCATCTTTCTGTGGTTTAATTTATTTAATGTGGAAACTGAGTTTCACATGTGTAGCAACTCACAATGTAATAACTGCACATAATGTAATAACTGCACATACTGTAATAAGTATTACATTATTATTGTAATAAAATGTTCATAATGGAATAATTTTCTCAAAACGTAATAAAATCTTCACGGGAACAGTTGGCAATCCTACTTTGCATGTTTTAAACACATAGACGATGTTCTTACTCTGGCCATGCATTAAATGCACGTCCTTGAAAGAGTGCAGTTTGAAGTAACTTCTCAGGTCATGTCTGTGGTATGATGACAACGACAGTGATTAGCCTGCATCAAATATACTTTAATTGTTTGATCAAAATGATTGCTAGGAACAATTCAGTTGCGCCCCTACTAAATTCTACGTATTTGAAAAATAATAATAATAATAAAAGTTTCCAAAGTCTAATGTAGTCTGGGATAGATCGCGTTATCTGCTTTAATACATAACATGTATAACATGAATGTACATCAGAAGATATGCTGAAAAATAAAGTACAACTTAAAGAGGGTGCTTCTACTAAATACTGAGCAAGGGGTCTGAATACTTAGGACCATGTGATATTTCAGTTTTTCTTTTTAATAAATCTGCAAAAATGTCAACAATTCTGTGTTTTTCTGTCAATATGGGGTGCTGTGTGTACATTAATGAGGAAAAAAAATTAACTTAAATGATTTTAGCAAATGGCTGCAATATAACAAAGAGTGAAAAATTTAAGGGGGTCTGAATACTTTCCGTACCCACTGTATATATAAATGACAAAATGAATCAGCTTTTCATATTTAAAAAAGTTCACAATGTAGCCTAATTTTCTTATTTTACATAAAACTGTTATTACGTTTTGTGCTCAAATTTATTATATTGTAAACATTGTTTAAATTATGTGCTGGTTTTACCGTATGAACTGTGATTACATTATAATTTGTCACAGTAGGTTCATAATGTAATACATTTCTCATACAATCACCTATTACATTATGTGAACAATTGTTATTACATTGAAAAATTATTATTACATTATGAGCTCAAGATTGTATTACGTTTTGAGAAAATTATTACATTATGAACATTTTATTACAATAATAATGTAATTTTTAAAATTACATTATGTCCAGTTTTTACATTATGTGCAGTTATTACATTATGAGTTGCTACAACATATATAACGAGATGCCCCGTTTCAATGTGTTACACTCTTCTAACACCAAACCTGAGACAGCTGGACTGTTGATATGCTAGAAAAGGTATACATAAATCTGCTAACTGCTTCTGAAATGGCTTCTGAAAATTCAGATTCGCATAACAGGAATAAACAATAAATAGGAAATATTTAAAATTGTAATAACATTTAACAATATTACTGTTTTGTTTGTTTCTGTATAATTCCACTTAAAATGACCCAAACATACAGGGCCTTTATTATAAAGACAATTCTTAGACAAAATGGTTAATTTGGTTAATTGGCTTGGCAAAGGTGTAGCATTTATGATATTTTTTAAATAATTTTCAATAGTGAGGATGTTAATTACAGATATCTATATTGATTTGATATTTTTTTCCCAGTCAAAAAGCTGAATGCAGACAAGTACAAATAAAGTATCTCCTAGCCAAAAACCATATATAGAGATATCCATAATTAAATTGCAGATATCTGCGATTTGACAAAGAAGAATTCCTATCTGTTATGCATTATGAAACTGTAACTAGTCAGAAATCCAATTCAAGATATCTAGAGTTATGCTGTTGTGAATGTATGAGTGTCTCTGTGTGTGTGTTTCAAAAGAAGTGTGTACTCAGAGAGTATGTGATTCTGGACGTGGCCAGTGGGCTTGGGGTGAATGCCTGAAATACTGCCTTTAAACAAGCTCAAGATATTGTCATAGTTTTGACATTTATAAGCCATTTCATGTCAGATTTGAAATGTGAAAAATGTGAGTGTGGCAAGCAGCTTTTCGAGATAATAGACAGCAGTTGGTCTTGGATACCTGAAAGTGAATTTGACCAACCGCTGTAGAGAGATGGTGTAGTCAGAGCTGCAGGTCCAGATGCTCGGAGTCGGAGCAAGATCATATAACACACCGTCAGAAATGAGGACAAATCCTCAGCAGCAATCGATGCAGTCTGTAGAAAACAGAATCACTGAAGCACGTTCTGCAAAGTGTTTACCATGCATCTTTAAAATAAGTTTACATGCATTTTTTACATGCATCCTAATGCCGTTCTTATGATTATCAGTGTGAAATTGTAGAATCTTGTGTAGAAATCACTCAGCTACAATCAAACTTGATCTGTTTCATTCTCAAGTGTAATATCCACACGCCTCTTTCTCTTGCAGCTAATGCCACAATACCCCACGATACCTGAAAATACTTATTTAAATTACTTACCGGTACTTGATGTATTCATTTCATTCTTTGTTCTTCTGTGTCACAGGATATCTCAGTCTAAACCCACATAACATGTTCAAGGGTGCTTCCTAAGAAAAAAGTTGCACGCATAGAATTGACAGGCTGCAGCTCCCTCTAGTGGACGAGTAGGCCTACTGTAAGTAAGTAAGTAAAGAAATGTGTCAGTACATCATTAAACGTAAACTGATTTTACAGATTTTATTCACATAGATTTATAATAGAGAGCGTGGCTGTAGTCACAGCACTTGCTCTGATGATCAGAGGGCTACAGGAGAAAAACACAGTGTTTTACTCCGCTGTTTAGATGAATCCCACACCTTGCTGGACTGTGGCACATTAGGTTGAGTTTTTTTTTAGAGATATATAGTGTGGTTATATGTGTGTACATGCCAAAACCTTAAACTATAAAAGTGCTGCTTTATCCCACTATCACGTGCAGGGGTGGCTTTTTGCCCTTATACTGTATGGGTCAAAACAAAACGAAAAAATGAAATTCATGATTTAATTAATAGTAATTTAATGATATTTTAAATTAAGTAATGTTCTAATTTTAAATGTGCATTTATGTAAATGCTGCTTTCAACAAAACCTTTAATATGTGTTCATGAATTGTTGATTTAAAAATGATTGATTTTCTTTTAGGAACTTTAAAACAGTAATTTGAAATCATTATTACAGATGAAATCTAGCTGGTACAAGTACTTACTGTATGTTGCCTGGCTGTGTTCAGTGTTGTACTCCTCGTCATTTTATCATCTTTTATTGTGTCTGATCAGTTCTGGTCATTTTGGTGTAGTGTGTTTATCATGCCTTGTGTGTGTGTGTGTGTGTGTGTGT